CACACACACACACACACACACACACACACACACACACACACACACACACACAGAGCTGTAACCAGGCTACAGTCAAGCCACACACTATTTTCTGCTCAGTAAAAGCAGCAGACATGTTCTCTCTGGATGAGAATAAACAGAATTGATGCTGTAAAAGTTTCTGCTTTGTGCTGACACGCGCACGCGCACACACAGAGCAGTGAGCCGTGGTGACTTTCTTCCTCCTGTGACTCATGTCGGACTTGAACATCAATAAAAACGGAGGGTAATTAAAAAAAACAAAACGGAAATAAAAACTGAGGAACTCACTGACAGATGAAAGGCATCCGCAGGGCGCGAGCTCTCCAACTCAGATCAGATCAAAGGAAGGCGGCTGGTGCGACGGCCACCGGCGGAGGCTCAGCTGGGGGAGGTCGCACCCATCTGCATCACCGACAAGAGTCTCGGTCCCGTCCTCGCCCCTCCTCACCCCCTCCACCGTGTGTCTCCCCTCTATCAGCGGCCGCACACTCCGCTCCTCTGCGCAGCTTTCAGCGGCTGATAGCGCACTCCTCTGCGCCTCCCCCTCCCCCTCCCCCCGTAACGTCGCACTTCCTGTCTGCTGCTGGGCGGCTCCCGGTCCCGGTGAGAGGATTCTGCCGACCTGCGCCGTTCCTCCTGCGGGGGACACGGAGCTCAGACCAGACGGGACAGGAGGTGGTGGTGGTGGTATTGACCGCGGCGAGGACGCGCTTACGCATAGGCCGGCTCGCGCGCACGCATCACGCACACGGGCTCACGCACTTCTTCTGTTGCCACAACAAAATCTGAACTTGAACCTGATGGGTTTAATGGCCTCTTTGGCTTCTGAGCTAAAATAAACCTTCAATATAAAACTAATTAAACGTGTCTTCAGCTGCAGGTTAAACCCAGAGGCCCTGAAGGAACAGCCGCAAGAAAAACAACTTTAACTTCATTTTTCATTAGGGTATAATAAGAAATGTTTGGTTTCGTTAAAAGGCAGCATGAATGATTTTGTTCTGCTTTGACAGAAGAACTGAGTTAAAGTCAAAAGCAGAACACTAGCTGAAAGCTAAAAGAAGCAAAAGCTAAGTTAGCTAAGTTAAAACTGGACAGAAGCTAAAAGTAGCAAAAGGCTAGTCTGAAACTAAAAGGCTAATTAGACCACATCAAAATCCTATAAGCTAAAGACTTGACAGAAGCTAAAAGTAGCAAATTGCTAGCCTGAAGCTAAAAGGCTATCAAAATCCTATAAGCTAAAGACTGGACAGAAGCTAAAAGTAGCAAAAGGCTAGCCTGAAGCTAAAAGGCTATAAAAATGTTATAAGCTAAAGACAGAAGCTAAAAGTTGCAAAAGCTAGCCTGAAGCTAAAAGGCTTATTAGACCATACCAAAATTCTATAAGCTAAAGACTGGACAGATGCTAAAAGTAGCAAAAGGCTAGCCAGCAGCTAAAAGGGTAATTAGACCATTTCAAAATCATACAGCCTAAGCTAAGTTAAAGACAGGACAGAAACTAAAAGTAGCAAAAGACTAGCTTGAAGCTAAAAGGCTAATTAAGATCAGAAGTTAAGTTATAGAGTGGACATAAACTAAAAGTTGCAAAATGCTAGCCTGAAGCTAAAAGGCTAATTAGATCATAAGCTAAGTTGAAGACTGGACAGAAGCTATAAGTAGCAAAAGGCTAGCCTGATGCCAAAAGTCGAATTAGACCATGTCACAATCATATAAGCTAAAGACTGGAGAGAAGCCAAAAGTACCAAAAGGCTAGCCTGAAGCTAAAAGGGTAATTAGACAATATCATAAAATCCTATAAGCTATAAGACTGGACAGAAGCTAAAAGTAGCTAAAGGCTAGCCTGAAGCTAAATGCTAATTAGACCATATCAAACTCTTATAAGCTAAGTTAAAGACTAGACAGAATCTAAAAGTAGCAAAAGGCTAGCTCAGTGTAACAAAGTGAAATAGCAAAGGCTAGCATGAAGCTAAAATAAGCAAAAATCTAATAGGCCTATTAAAATCCTAGCTACAGACTGCAGCTAAAAGTTGCAAAATAGCTAAATGAAGCAAACGTTTGACACAAACATTTACTCAGAGTTTCAGATTAATCTGAGTTAGATTATTCCCTCTGAGTGCAACTCGACTGTAAACATTTCAGACTGATCTTCACTGTTTCCAACTCCTGAGCAAGAAAAGTGGCTGTCGCTAAATGACGTCATCACCTAATTTGTATAGTTGGATGTTTGCCAATGATTGTGATCTGAGCTAGGAGATTCAAAGTGTTTATTGTCATGTGCACAGATGAAAAACATGTTTCCCTGATCAATGAAATTCTTACTTTGTCGTCCATTTTTGAATGCCGAGAGATAACCATATTAAAAAAATGAATCATCACTGAAAGGACACAAACAATGTTGATTAAATTAAAAAAGAGACTAAACTAAGGGTAATAATATCAGAAGGGAACAATATAATGACAACAAGAAGGGAAC